CCTCTGCCTATGATTGTTCGTAAAAGTTGGTTGAAGATACTTGGTGTAACGTTTCAAGAGAATCTTTCCATGTGGGACATGCATCTAGATGAATTAATGAGTAAGGCCTGTAGCAGAATGTACATTATTCGGATTTGCAAATACTACGGGTTTTCTAGGAAAGAGCTGGATCTTTTGTTCCATAGTCTTATTTTATCAATATTAGTTTTTGGTATAGAGGTCTGGGGATGTGCGTCGTATTCTAAGTATCTTAGTCAAGTAGATAAACTTTTAAAACGTGCATATAAGTATGGATATCTTATGTATCAGGTATCGATTGTTGATATATTAAACAATAAAGACAGAGATTTATGGGAGAAAATAACTACAGATCCCAACCATGCCCTGCAAGTTTAGCTGCCTCCTAGTCGTCAATTAGAATTACTGTAATCGCGGACATGAGTATCCCGAGAGTTCGAACAGAAAGTTTAAAAGAGTGTTCGTTAATAGATGTCTTTTTAACTTCATATAATATTTTTTAAATTAGAAATTAACTTCTTAGGAACTACATTAAACATTATAATAATGAAATTGTTTTTGTTTGTGGAAACACCACGTAAATTTATTACTGCAAAGCTTTCGATCCGTAAGCCCGGATCTTCATCAGTGCTAATAATATGTGACTTGTTTAATTCACACGCTTTTTTATATACAAGAGTGACGTGATCTGTTGGCTCGCGTCATTTGAAATTTAATTAAACGGCACATCAACCACGTCATTTCAAACGTAATGAAGTGATTCCAATTAACGCGCGCGCATCCAAGACAAGAGAAATTAATGTTGCACATTAAAGAGAGCACGCCACGTACTATCTAGTGGCTTTCCCTCCTGATCTATAGTATTGTGCTTCTCGATTTCAATTGACTCTCTCATTTTGCGAGAGTTTTTTTCTCTTGTCTTGGATGCGCGCGCGTTAATTGGAATCATTTCATTACGTTTGAAATGACGTGGTTGATGTGCCGTTTAATTAAATTTCAAATGACGCGAGCCAACAGATCACGTCACTCTTGTATATAAAAAGAGCGTGTGAATTAAACAAGTCACATATTATTAGCACTGATGAAGATCCGGGCTTACGGATCGAAAGCTTTGCAGTAATAAATTTACGTGGTGTTTCCACAAACAAAAACAATTATATTTTATCGCCATGCAAACATTCAAAGAACTTATTATAATAATGGTATTTTAGCTCTATTAATGAATAATATCAATACTAATACAGTAATTAGTATAATAATTATTGATAAGTAAGTGCAAATTGTAAGCCCGCACGTTTGTTGTGAGGTGTTGCTTTTAATATTTTAATAAAGATTTATACATACATACAGACAGACAATCTTGGACAAAACCCTTGAGACCATTCCAGCTAATATTACAAAGTTATTGAACATTGACAAAACAAACTTTGTCTCCCCTTCGCTCCCCTTCCCC